AAAAAAAAAATTTGAAAATGTATATTGGCAGTACTGAGCATTGAACCTGGCCTTCCTCTTGCTGGGTAAGCACTCTACCACTGAGCTACAATCTTGGGCAATTTATCAAGATCTTGTTTCAGAATAAAAAATAAAAAGGGTGGGAGTGTAGTTCCCTGCTCCCACACACACCCTGGGTTCAACCTCCAGTACTGAAAAAAGAAAAAAAGAAAAACAAATCCTTAAGGTAGATAAAGACAGACCACTGAAGAAGCTAGAGAAGATTATGAAATGGAAGGACAGATTATACATTACATGATTACAGTCCCATTCAGGTAGTATGTAAATGCAGAAAATAGATTTAGTTTACCAAAACCAAGATTTTCTCTCCCTACAGTTTCTTGAAAGTAGAAATTAGATAATAAAATTCTTTAACCTGAAATCTTGCACCAACTCATATTTTTGGTTCCACTAAGCAGCTTGAGAGCATCCTTGGATTGTTCATTTTGTGAATAAGTTCTTAGGATGACAGGGGCCCTTCAGATCTATAGGATGAATTTCTGGAAGGGCAAAAGGTATGGTAAGGTAGTTCAGGACATTAGGAAATCTTTACTGGTTTTGGATTGGACTCTGGGAAACTGGTAGTGATGGTGGTGTGCATTGGTTGGTGTCTGAATCTATCTGGACAGATTGTAGAGTTAGGAGATAACAACTAGATGTGGTCAGATTTTCAAGTTTTACCTTCTCACCCCAATATTTAGAACCCTCAAATATGTTTTTTTTTTCTTTTCTACATTGAGCTTTATTCATAGAATGCAGGAGAGTGTAGAAGGCCTGTGGGAAGATGAAATGAATCGAGGTCTTGCTTGAGAAACTACAACTTTCCAGGAATGTATCACCTAGTGACTTAGAACCACCCCTCCTACCCCCACCCCTATTACTGGGGATAGAACTTAGAGCCTTAGGCATGCTAGGTAAGTTCCCTACCACTGAGCCACATCCTCAATCCCATGACTTCAATCTTTTTTCTTATTTTTAGATATACATGACAGTGGGGTTTTTGACATTTTGACATGTTATACATACATGGAGTGCAACCCATTCCAATTATGATCCCATTGTGGTTGTACATGATTTGGAGTTACACTGGTCATGTACTCACATATGAACATAGAAGTTACATCTGCTTCTTTCTACTGTCTTTCGTATTCCCATTTCCCCTTCCTTCTCTTCAGTCCCCTTCATCTAATCCAAAGAACTTCTATACTTCCCCTTCCTACCATCCCTTGTTAAGGGTTTAATTTTAATTAAGGATTGCAGCTGGGCATGGTGGTGCATGCCTGAAAACCCAGCAGCCCTGGAGCCTGAGGCAGGTGGATTGTGAGTTCAAAGCCAGCCTCAGCAAAAGTGAGGCACTAAGTAACTCAGTGATACCCTGTCTGTAAATAAAATACAAAATAGGACTGGAGATGTGGTTCAGTGGCCAAGTGCCCCTGAATTCAATCTCTAGTGCTCCCACACTCAAAAAAAAAAAAAAAAAAGGATTGCAAAAACACATAGTTTTTGAGCTAGCTGATATTTTATTTGGGAATTCCCCCCATCCACCCACACACACCAATGAATTCTCTATGGATAAAGGAATTGAACTCTAACTTAATATTGAGTTTAAGAGAAAGAATGATCCTTTCTTTTGATGACTTAAGCTAATGGGAAAGATAAACATGTTTATTAAATATTAACAATACAAGATAGTATGAATGGAGTCATAGGACAGAACATCAATGGGCTGCTGTTGGATGACAAAGAAAAAGAGAAGTTCATTCATTAAGAACTGAGAAATATTTGTGGTGGGTGCAGCATTTCAGCTGGGACTTGAGAAGGGAGCTCCCTGTTATAAAGTGGCCACTGGAATGAGAGTGGCACAGAGGTATGGAAGTCTGTTGTGATCCAAGGAAATGGAGCAATTTGAAGTGGGTGGAAACTGGAATGTGAGCTAGATAATATTGGGAGGTAAAATAGGGGTAAAGTATGGAGAACAAGAAAAGTCATGCTAATAAGTTAAAATGTGACAAAAATTATTATAGTCATGCCAACAATCTTAGCATCCTTTACCTCCTTTTGACTTTATATTCAGTTTTGTAAGTTTCCCCCTAAAATGAACAAACGGTTAAAATCTCAATGATGTTTGCTTCCTATCACTATAAAAAGGGAATGTGTTCCAAATAGCCTTCAAAACTTTATTCATATCCAACAGTGCTTCCCCCCAAGTTGGCAATCTTATGGTAGAATAACTTAGCTGATTCAAATTGTGATAGGGAAACATCTCTATTATCTGTTTCAATCGTTAATAGTCATAGTGTTTATTAAACATACTTATGTAAGGGGAGCCACTTATGTGATGTTACCTAGGGAGATATTATTTTTATTTTAGGCTGAGAATTTTGATAAGGCAACTTAATTAAGTGAATGGTAGCACAGGAATTTGAATCCAAGCCATCTGCTTCCAGAGCTGATGCTTTGAACTGTTGTGCTCTCACTAATAAGGGTGTCATACATGGTAACCTTTATTAATAGCAGTTAGAACTTGGGCCTGGTACCTGCAGGAGTATTCCTCCATTTCTTTCTTGGCATCCTCATTCCCATCATTCAGATCAATTTCCCTCTACACATTCAATAATGGAGCATTTTTCAACATCTTAACACTCCTTAAAACTATTTTATGATCTGACTTGGGAGACTGAGTCAGGAGGATCAAAAGTTCAAGGACAGCCCTGGAAACTTAGCAAGACTGTGTCTAAAAGTAAAAATAATAATAATAATAATAATGTGAATGGCTGGCGATGTAGCTCAGTTATAGAGTGTCCCTGAGTTCAATCCCCAATACTGAAAAAAAATTATTATATGATCTTATACTTTAATAAACCACTCAAAAGAAATGAACTCTT